TTTAACAAGAAGTCGAAAATATCACTTTTTACCAAAAATTACAAAAATATTCACCAAAATTAGAGAATTGAAGATATCAACATGAAATGAACAAACCTAAGAGAGGTCTACCCAAGGTACATATACACCAAGTATCAAAGCATTCAGGCTTGTAGTTTTCAAGAAGAAGTCGAAAAAGTAAAACATTGACACGGACGACGACGACGGACAATCATTCATATGATAAGCTCCGCTCGACAAAGTCGACAGCGGAGCTAAAAATCATTTATTGTTCTGAATCAAAAGTCCCTGGACCAAAGGACTTACTGAGATTGCTGTAATCTTCAGTGAATCAGCAGTTGAGTGGTTGAACAGATACCATAGCAACAAACCAGTTTCATTGGTTGAAAACTTCAGGGCATGTATTCCTGTTGTTGTAGCAACACTCTCGATTATCTTAGCAGCATAGTGTTGAACCACTGCATCCTCCTATGAGATCACAAGATAGGAAACAATCTGAATACACCTTTCTCATATGTCACGCCACATGATTTGTTATTTTCATTCCTGTACTGATGTTTAGAGTCAATATCGTGACATTTATCATACCATATAAACAGTGATATTCCACACTAAACTGAATGATATGAACTACAGTCATACGATAAGTAATATATATTTGGTATGTACAAAATGTAATTACAATGTAAATGTAAGCTAATTCATGCACAACATTGACCATTATCCAGCAACTTACCCCTTCTCGAAGACATCTAATTATCATAGTATATGTGATAGATGGAACCAACCAGCTGTCGACTTCTCTGCCTTTCTGTTCTTCTTGCGTAGCTATCAAGTTCAGCAATTCACCAAGAGCAGGCAGAGTAGCTTGTTTTAACTTGCCATTACGGAAATGGTCCCTAACAACTTCTGTCAGTGCAGTCACAACCTACATGCAAAAACATTAGAGTTGAACATTGAAGCAGCACAGGTTTTACACTTCACTGTGTTCAAGACGTAGACTGTGGACTGTTATCAATAATTGATAAAATTATTACTCATCTATCAGAATCATTTCAAAATAAACTTTGACATAAATCTATATAGTCAAATATGCAACTGTGCTACAAGAATATGATTGTATCATTGCAAATATGGTAACACATCTTCAATGCAAGAACTTTAATTTTATTTCTCTCTCCCTTCTCTCTATGTCAAAGGGTGTTGGTAGTTTCGTCACTTTCTGTTCGATATGAGACTCATAGCGACGTACACAACGCATGTAAAATACATTGTTTGTTTACCTGAAATTTGAACACTCACTGCACGTTGACCACAACTCTTTTAATATGTGTAAATCTGTATATTAAAGTACTAGTCTCATAATGAATCAGAAAGTTGCATGATTACCTCAGTAAGACTCAAAGTTTCATCAAGTTCTTCAATATTATGAGCCATCAATCCAAGCGGTCTGGCAGCTTTACATCGTCTGGCGAATGAAACATCAAACATGAAAATAAAATTGAAATGCATTTTCAAATAATATATTAGTACCCCCTAGTGTAAAAAACCCTAACAATTGTCAAGTTAGGTTGATATAGAAAAGGGATCCCAATTAAAGAGAGACATTCAAAAGATCTGAAAATCACTCACATAAAATAAAACATTATTTTCCAAGATAGCATGGATAAAAACCATGGAAGGATTGACAAATTAGTTTGCTGATGAGAAGACTAGGTGAAATATGAAGGGAATTCGCCCTCCACCACCAATCTGTTACCTCACACCCACTCAACATAGTAGTTGCCATTTATTTTTAATAACTATGTCATTATTAAATCAACTTACATTTCTAAATGCTGTGGTGACTTTATTTGTTGTTGTAGTGCAGGTACCTGAGAACAAAAATTGAAAATAATTTATAAATACAAACTAAAGATTGGAAAGTAGTATGACAATAATCTGCTACTGTAATATTACATCACATGACACTTTATGCAATACAATTTAACTGATATACTATACAATGTGACACTACACTACACTACACTACACTACACTACACTACACTACACTACACTACACTACACTACATGTACACTACATGTACACTACACTACACTACACTACACTACACTACACTACACTACACTACACTACACTACACTACACTACACTACACTACACTGCACTGCACTGCACTGCACTGCACTGAACACTGGACTGCACTGCACCGTACCGCACCGCACCACACCACACCGCACTGCACTGCACTGCACTGCACTGCACTGAACTGCACTGCACTGCACTGCACTGCACTGCACTGCACTGAACACTGGACTGCACTGCACCGTACCGCACCGCACCACACCACAGTACACCGCACTGCACTGAACTGCACTGCACTGCACTGCACTGAACTGAGCTGAACTGAGCTGAACTGCACTGCACTGCACTGCACTCTCAGCAGTAAGTACTCACCAGCTTTGACCTGATCATGAGAGCAGCAACACTGGCTTCATTAGCTAAACATGCAATATAATTCAGGAGTTGTACTCTCATTCTTTGACTACTCGCTGATTTATCATTTATTGCTTTAGACAGAGTATCAGCTAAGGCCAACAAGAGATCCTCAACCTCCTCTGTTTTTAATTTCTTCACTTTCTCCATGCTTGGTACTTGCATCGGTAAGGCTTTGCTGTCCCATTTAAGTGATGCAACCTTCTGGATCTGTTATTTTTCAAAGAAATTAAAAAATACAGTCAAATAACCTGGTTAAAAAAGCTGCACAACTTAAAAATGGATAGCTAAGTTTAGATCTGAGGGTACCACGCATGTGACAGTGTCAATATCGAATACAAAGTGTGTGTGTGGGTAGGGTGATACACTCCAGTCATCAGCACTATGCAGATTCTGTACTATATATACTATGTATAGTATCAGTTTTATAGAGAGCAAATGCTTTAATGTGTACTGTAGACATCATGATTGCCTTTAAAGGTGTATGAAACATTCATGAAATCTAAAAAAAATCACACACAAAAGCAAAATGAAACATAATTTTGTGATATATTTAATATTCATACAAATTATAAACTGTTTAATTTTCACTGCTTGACATTTATATAATGTCAGGATTTTATTCCTTTAGTTAACCTTGATGATTTCACTGCTACAAAATGTTGAAAAAATTTGAAATCCATCTTCACAAAATTGAAACAATTTACAATACATTGCATCACATCTCTGAGATTGCAGTCAAGGAAGTGTATCTATTAAAGTTGTGAAATGCACAACCACCTCCACTGGCATTTACAAAGTGATGTAGCAGCCAAGAAACTGGAAATTTCATTCCAAATTACATAAAGCAGGCCTTGAACTTTGATATTCTTAGAGCTCCCAATTTCATGGTTAAAAATGTCTTAGACTGATTGAAATTGCGAAGAAAGTAGCGAAGAGCATAAAAGCATTCAGGTAGGGAATCAGATAATTTGTCCCCATTAATTTT